GTCAGGGTTAAGTCCAGACGCTTCATGTCGTGAAGTTGTGTCCAGCAGTATGACAACGCGCTGCTTTAGTTGCATTGTCAAAGCTTTATGTGCTACTGCTTCTGTGTCCAGAAATACGTTGTGAAATCAGTTACAGTAGTAAGCTGCTGTTAACACAAAGCAGGAGAGTAGGCTTATTATATAAGTTTTCCAACTTTGATAGCAAAAAATGGTATCAAAACAATGCTGCTGATTAATCATAAATATACTTTATATTCTCTGTTTATAAACCTGGATTTTTGCATTACAGATTTTTTAAATTAGGTCTAAATCTTGAGGTCAATGCACACACACTTAATCTTAAAGATGTACAGCTCATGTCCTGGTGAAGACCAGTGACAAATCTGTGATCTGTTGCCATTGTTACGAAAAACTTTAATAAATATTAAAATGTCCTCTTTTACACAGTATTTTGTCTCCAGTGATCTGACTTGAACCCTCAGTAAAATAGTGTCCCTGCATCTGTCAATCCAGCAGTATGGGTGGAACTATAAAGTAATTTCTCCATAAATGGATTTCCTGTTGGTACAGTTTGAGGTTCTTTAGGTGGCGCTCTTTGTTTTTCTTTTCTTATAGTCCTTAGAAATTCCATTCAGCTGTACAATAAGACTATTTTAATTTGAATAAACCTTTAACCAAACTAAATTTATTTGCAAAACATCAAGCAGAATGTTACCCATACCTACCTTCTTGTTTATTTCTGTTATGTTTTTAAAAAAGAAAGTACTAAAATAGATAATATTGACAACCAATTGTTGCTTCTCCGACTGACACCCGAGAAGAGCTCCACTGCCAGAGGGGCATCCACAACCTAAGCAGCAAACAAACCTATGTTGGTCCCTGAACTATCATCAGGTCTATTCCTGCTGCTCAGTGGGACTGGAGTTCTCCAAGGAGCGCTGAAAACCGGATTGTTTTACACACACCTGTTCCTGAACGTCACTCGGCTACATGCATGTCTCAGGGGGAGTGCAGTTAATCGCTGATTTGGCACACTTACAGTGACAACATACCGAGGTCCAGTTTCAGGAACTTAGTACACACACACACACGAACAAACATACTCTCACGCTTATACACAATCTCACACACAAATAGATGCAGCTCAAATCCTCTGACCCACACAGATCTACACACATTGAAACAAACACACACACACACACACACACACACACACACACACACACACACACACGCTTCAGAGGACATTCATTCTCTGGAGACTTACTCCTACTCTTAACCTAACCAAAACCACTACTTGCCAAATCCTAATCCTAACCTTGGCCCAAACCTAAACCTAACCTAACTTTAAACAAAATCTTCACCCTAAGCTTTAATGATTTACATTACGTGGATTTTGTCCCCATAAGGACGGAAGTCCTCACAATGTGACCACTGAAACAGATTTATGTCCCCACAACATTAGTAATACCCACCCACACACTCACAATATTACTACGCCATTAGTACAATGGCTGTGCAACCTTAGACACTCAAACCTCATGATTAGACAAACAGTCCGGCCAGCCGCCATCTTTGATTTTCCTCCAACTGTTGACTTACTTAAAATAACTTCAAACTGTGCATAACACATAAGACTGACTTTTCAAAGCTTAGGCTGAAAAGTGCAATTATTTGCAGTTGTCTAAAAAAAAAGGACGATAGTTTGTGTATACTGGAACACTTGATGCTTTGTGGCTTTGCCTGAATGGGAAACAATTAAAGTTCTTCTTGGCAGCACATGAAGCAAGACGGTGATAAAAATGGCTGAGCTTTTCAACACGGGTGAGGCCTCTCAGCTAGGCCTTTTTGGAGTCATGAGAATCTTCTAGAAATTTTTCCTCCTGGACTCTGGGTCACTTTCTGCTCACTGTTTTCCCTTTCTTCTTCAATTTAGGATCACAGCATACCTTTCTTATCTTTGGAAAGACAGTAAATAAATAATACTTGTTCCAGAGAAATCTTTGTTGAATTTTAGTTGCATGTTAATGTCACATTACAATGACTTGACCCTTTCATAACCAGTGTAACTAGCATCTGTTACTCAGTGGATGGGGTTTTCTTCACGTGTCTTTCTGTCTGTAGTATACGGTACTTAGAAAGAAGAGACTTATGTAAAGGATAATAAATGAAACTACCATCACCGATTCAACCAACAGGAAAATATCCCTGAAACTCGATATATCCCTTCAACTTTAATGAGAAGGGTCTATCCGCAGACTACACCACTACACCCACTTCACTACATGACACACCTCCGGAGGTAACTTCCTGGATTAATGTGCTTTTTTTAACCCAAAACCATGATCTTTTCCCAAAGCTGACCAATTAGTTTTGGTGCCTAAATCTAAACTGCGAACTTTTGAAGGCGTATCATATAGTAGCCGTGTCCTGTAGTACTGTGCACGAGCGCAGATCTACTTGACTTTAACAGTAGTACCCATCACTTTATAGCTCCTGCACAGCCACACCTCCAACTCTTCCGGCTCCTCCTCCTCTAGTAGTGAGTGGGTTTGATGACTGACAGCCAATGGTTAGCAGTGAGGGGAGCAAGGAGGAGGAATGTAGAGAAAGGAAGACAGAAAGAGGGAATGGGAAAGAGGAGGAGAAGAGGGAGAGAGAGAGGAATGGAAAGCGTCCACTAGCGCAAACACATCTGAAACAGAAACATCCATTTAGCAGCGAAAACAAACCCCCCTCACAAGACCTCCGTGAATGGGCCACTTCAGCCTGCCGAGGAAGTTCCAAGGAGGGGCAGGATGTTCCCCTCAGGACGCACTTGAGACGGGCTGAGGGCCAAAAGCCTGAATACATAGACCCCTCTCTCTCCCTCTGTCACTGTCCAGCTTTGCCCTCCCACCCGGGCAGAGTGGCTTTAGTACTCCCCAAAAGCTCCCCGTCCTCCCCTGCCTGCCTGCCCGCTGCTTCCCCTCCTACCAGCCGTTTACTTGGCTGCAGCCAGCAAGGCGGCGAGGGAGGGCGTGGAACTGTACTCAGCAAACAAAGACAGAGGGGCAAAGACTTTCCATGATTAAAGAGCAGTTAAGATGCTATGAGAGGCTAATTTGTTCACTGTGTCACAGAATCAACAGGAACTGGGGACAGAAATCTGTGCTGCCTGCATTTCCTGCTGCAATTTAAAGGAGAATACTGCTTTAATTTTGAGTTATAGATGGTTCACTGATGTCTACATCTGGTTTACTTTTCCCTCCTTGCATCCTTTGTGTATATATTTATATAATTAAATTTTTTTGGATACATTTTACATTTAAAATATATATCTTACAGGTCAATACTATCTTGAAATCAACAGCTATAAAACAACCCTCGAATTAGAGTCTTCACATGCAAGTAATCAAATCAGATGAAGAAATCAGGTTACGGAAAGATATATGATTATATGATGCATTTACATGTGTTGCAATAGTCTTTAACCACATAGGCTACATGCAGATGGCCTGCATACTGGTGTTTTGTATGCATATGCACATAAAACGAGTACGTACTGCATGGTCCTGACTCGAACTGGCAACTTCAGGTATGCGGATGCGCTGATGAGAAGGGTAAAACCCATAGGCACTAGGATTGATCACCAACGCATCTCTTAAGATGTTGGGAAGTGAGGTTTACTCACTGTACATCCTCGCTGGCTTCCGTTACACTCACCCCCGGGTCACGGCAACAGTGTAATGGCCCTCCCCAAGGTTGTACTACTGCATGGTCTAGACTTGAACTGGCGACCTTGAATATGGAAGGTGGATGCCCTAACGAGGAGGCTAAAACCTATAAGTACTAGCATCGATCGTCAGCGCATCTCTTAAGATGTCGGGGAGGTTTACTCACTGTACAGCCTCGCTGGCTTCTGTTACACACACACACACATACATGCTTAAACATTTAGCAATCTATTGACACTTGGGGAAATAAATGTATTCGCTTTCTAGCCTGGTGTTAGTCTGATGTATGGAGTGTGTTCCAGATTCAAAGACCACTATTATGTGTGCAAAACAGAGCCAAAATTAGCTTAGTTTAGCATAAAGACTGGATCCAGGTGCATCAGCTAGCCTGGCTCTAAAATATACCAGTAACTCTAAAGTTCACAACGCGTGTACAAGAAAGTGTAAAAATGACATGGCGGTGGTTTCACGGAAGTTACATACTGTATATCTACACCTGGCCTGTAGTGATTTCTGGGAGTCTCGCAGGTTGCATGGCAGCCTCCAGATGACTTCAAGAACCCATGGTCATGGTTTACCAAGAAATACAGAAGTTGCAGGCCAGCAACTTTGGTGATCCCCCGACTTTAACTCTAGCTTCACCATAAGGTTGAAATTTATGACATTTACACAATTTCACGTCAATTGTAACTAACTCTAGTCAAAATTGTAATTTGTCTAAAACTTTTGTTTATGACTAAATACCAGGAACACTGACATTCCCATCAGCCACAGCTATATTTTAGTGCTAATTAGCAAATTAGCATGCAAGCAAGCTAAATTCAGATGGTGAACATGGTAAACCTTATACCTGCATAACATCAGTATGTTAGCATGCAGAGTTGAGCATTTAGCTCAAAATGCTGCTGTGCCAGTCTCACAGAGCCTCTAGCATAGACTCTTAGTCTAGTTACAATGTGTGCCATGTCCAAAGGTTTCTTGTATTTAGTTTAACTGACTGTTGGGTTAGTTTGTGTTGAAGGAAAACAAACCCTGATATCTGCGACTGTACAAACAAAAGAGTTCAGACAAAACAAACTCAGGCTACTATGCAAACAAATCCACTGTTGTGTGTATTCTATGGTATTTTGGTTTCCTTTCATTAAGATAAACTTCTAAACTTCTGATTTGTTCACCATGAATCAAAACGTCTGTTCGGGTTTTTGTTTGACTTGTTTTTACCACAGGACCTGTTTGTTTTTCCAAATATATGCTCTCAGTGACAGACACACCGGTGACAGCAAACGCTATTATAACATGTTTATTGAAAACCTTTTTTGACAGCATAGTTTGTCAGGCACGGAGAGAGAGAGAGAGAGAGAGAGCGCGCGAGAGAGAGTGAGACTGAGAAAGAGAAAGAGAGAGTTGTGAAATAGTTGTTTTTTCCCAGTGGGAGATGTTTACCCAGAGGGGCTGTTGTGGTGGAATGTTACAGAGGATTCATCATGTTCAAAACAGGTACATTGCAACAAACATGCTATGATTTAAAAATAACAAAAAAAAAATCACATAATGCCAAATAGTTAGTTCCACCTTTCTATGTTAGAAACATGAATACAGAGGGAGGCGAAATAAATTATATGGGATTGGAAAAAAAAATCAAAGGACAAACATGATTTTGTCTCACTAGTTGTAAAATAAACTTGATGTGGAATGCAAAATGAAATGTGACGTAACGGAAATAAAATAAAATGTATATGAAAATCATTTCCTCTCTAAGATTCTTACAAAATAGCTCACATAGCTACATAAAACTCTACTCATGTACATCAGCAACGTAAAAGCATATTTCAAACTCTAAATTAATCTGGACTAACATTGTCAGGTTAGAGCTGCATGATGAAATTAAAAATGGGATGAAAAACAGAGGAGAGCTGTGTGAAAAATGTCCATTCCAACTTGGAAAATAAAATAAAAACAACATGAGAAGAATGTATCGTTTTGATATCTCTGGAAGGAAAGGTGTATCTCCGACACCTCAGTCAAGGTATACCTCTTTCCTTCCAGTTTCATCTTCAATCCTGATTTCACTTCTTGTTGAACAGAAAGAGAATAAATAAGTCAGTCAGAGTGGAGACGACAGGTGGTTAAAGGCAGATGTGTGACTGTACATACAGTAAGAGTCTCTCCCTGCTGTGGCCGTGGTGTTTATTCATTCAATAGTAAAGGAAACATGTTCACTCTTAAAATAATGTTGTTTTTTAAATTGTTTTTAACATCTGTCTGTTGAACAACGCATGTTTTTCGAGGCTAATACTGATATTGTTGCAATAGAACTGAATATATATTTGCTGATACAAACACTGTTAAATTTGAAGTTAGGATTTTGTTATTCGTGTCACGATAAAAAAACTGAATTTAAACCATTATGGGACATCAAAACTGCCCACTGATATTTAAGATATTTGATTTTGTTTGTAGTGGTTAAGCAGCATCAAAATTAAAAGGACACATTATTATAACTATCACATTTTCTCAAATGTAACTCCTGTATCCTGTCTCGTTGTTGTCCAATTAAATGTATTTATCTCCAGTTTTGATGAGGTGTTGAAATAACATGAACCAAAAGTAACGTCTAGAGGGAATCAGGATTAGTGTTAGCAAGCTAGGCTAATTAGCTTCTACTTTCCAAATGGAGGCAAGTTAGCCGTACTTGCTATCTTCCACTTTGTGAATGAAAAACAAACTTAACAGCATAGCGTAATGGGTCCTCCCAGTGTTTAATGTTGTAAAGGGACACGTCTTAAATAACTAATGATATACAGTATAACCAGCACGATGTGGGCTTGCTTTGTCTTGCATCAACGCTTGAAGGATACAGGACAATGGCGCGTACGGTAATTGACAATAGCAACGGTGGCCCACAAATGGGAAACGCCCACCCAGAAGCTTTAAGTTTTTTTATTGTTATTTATTTACAAATTAACACTTTTAAAAGGAATAGAATTAGCTATCAACAGTTCTTGTTTGCAATGTACCCATGGATGTACAGAAATCTATCACGGTAGTACTTTAAAATGCAAGAAAGCGTGTTGAATCGAAAACGATATGAGGAGTGTCCTTTTCTATAACTAGTAGCCTAATTATTTATTTATTTATATGTGTATTATGGATCTCAGCATTTTGGAACATGCAGTAACTTTACTTTTGTTGCCTTAAACAAGACACATGTTAAAAACAACACATACTCTTTAAAAATCCTACAGAAAAACAGGTGCTGTCAGCATCACAGTAAAACCATGCTTGCTTGACAAGGATACAGAAAAAAGGAAGGGAAAGGCTAAATTAAACCAGGAGCAAAGCCTGATGGGGGGCATCAGTAGCCTATATAGTAAAATGACTACATCATCATCATCATCAGTATCATCATCTTCTGGCTCTTTAATGAGAAACAACACTGAAAAGCAGATCGATATGAATAAAAACACTCTCACCATAGGGAAAGCTTTTACCCAGCATGGAAGAATAAATAAAAGAAAACACCATCCGTTTCATTAGATCCATCCAATCTTTACACAAGCTCCTTTTTGTCTTGTTCAAATAAAAGAAAAATAAAGACAATGTTGAGGCTAATATTTACATAGCCTGCTTCTAGTAAGAACTGCTTTTTTATTTCAGTTACGTTTTTTTTTTGCTATTATACATTCAAAACATGATCAGAATGATTCAATTAATCTCCTTTTTGTTTACTAAATTATTCCAGGCACTTCATAGATTTGGGCCAAAACTGCAAAACCGTACTGAAAACAGAAAAAACAATAGTGTGCAACCTTCCACTTTACAAAGGCCTTGTTTCTGTGCATAAACCAATGAAAAAGTACATAATTTGGTGCTAAAAACATAGAAATCTCCCAGTGCAGTAATAGAATTAAATATAAAAATTTACTATTTTAAGTACTTTAAATTGGGGGAGATTTCATTAAGTACTCACACGGTCTTGTTGGGTAATTACAAAAATGTATCTACTTAAATTCAGTTCACACACTGGAACAAGGCCCTTGCACAGTAAATCGTTACCACCGTTTCCATTTAGCAGCGAGTGAATCATGTTTCTGAACCCTTCATTGCCACTCGAATGCTGTTTTCCCTTTTGTGACTTCGCTAAAAACAGACTCTGTAAACATTTCAACCCTTGCGCTTTTTTGGGGTCAGCTAGAGAGACTACTGCATAAAAAAAGGGAGATATCCATTTGGCAATCCCATGATCCTTCCCTGCACATGTAACCTCCACCCGCCTACATTCGACAGTGCAGTATTTGGTTCAGAGATCTGAAGAGATAGACTTTTAAGACTAATTTGGCACTTTTTTAAGCAAACTAAGCTTGAAGAAGGATCAGCCACAGACTTCAGAGTCTTCTTTAACAAACCAACATATTTACTGTATATATTTTTCTTTTTTGCTGTGTGATCTGTTTGTCACACAGCATGCCTTCATTTCAGTATTAATACTATAGAGCAGCGATAAAAACTCAAGCATCTGGCCAGGCTTTTTAGTAACACTCAAGCACAAAAGAACATAACAGCTTCACATTTCTGCATGTTTGTATCCATGAGTGTCTTGCTCAAACGCACTTTGACACTGCATGCAGCTTGTAAGCACCGGCCCTGTGACCTTTCTGTTATAATATAAGAGTTTGAAGCCTTCAGAGAGACCTTTACAAGAAAAAATCCACCTATAACTGCATTAACACTGTTCAAAAATTACCTAATACTTTGAATTGCTGGGTCGTTTTGCCATTGCTAAATGTCAGATTTGTTGTTAGGGCTCAGAATTAAGGAGCGAGAGCTTGCTGAACTAGCTTGCATGTTTTCACATTTTTCTGAATGCCACAAGTTCAAGTACATTCTTTGATAACTGCTGAAAAGAAATGTAGTTCATCACTTAAGTAGTGTCTGAAATTGCTCACTTGTCCACAGATTGACTATTCTCATATCTGATGGTTTTGTTATTCAATCATCTAGCATTGCTGCTGACAGGTGTGGTTTTGCATAAACTCTTATTTAGACAAGAGTAAAGGGGAAGCATTGCATTGTGGGATTTGTTATTTTTACACTAGGTAGCAAACAAGCTACCAATCCATCCTGGAATGGATTGCACATTACTGATTGAACAGTGAAACAGCATCAGTAGGAGGATTGTTCCTTAAACAGGCTGCTGAGGTTTTCTGAAGGCTTTTTATGATTCACAGCTAGTTGTTGTTCAATATGTCTTTAAGTACTTCAGTCATACTAAAAGGCCTCTCTGGTACATATCTCGATGCGCTGCTATTTCTTGCCCAGCAAGAGTTAATCGTTGCTTTGATATTGCAAACGTCAACTTTTCAAACCTGAATTTGAAATCAGCGGAAACATCCAGCTCTTTTCGGCAGGAGCCTTCAGTTCTTGAGTCCGGCTCTGGCGGTTGAATCACACTCGCTCTCAAAAATCATCTTCGTGTCTGTCATACATTCTTTTTTTTTAAAACTGTAAACAAAAAAAGATGGATCAAAAACCAGAGGAGCCTGCCAGTTGTGAAAAATAACGTTGCAGTTCTGTTGTAAAATAAGTTACAAAAAAAATTAAAATAAAAATCTTTGCGTACAGTACTAAAATCCTAAACTAGACCTTTCGAACTTAAGAACCACATGTTAAGTCTATAAATATCTTTACAAATATACACGTTAATTATTCAAATAAACCTTTTCTGTATCAATGATTAAATGATTTACACTTTCATGACAGTGTCTTCTAGATTGCAATTCTTCCATCCTAAAACAATACTTTAAAAAATGTAATTTTTTGTCTTTTAAGTACATGGCTGTGAACAGCAATATGATACATATTTGCATTTATATATTTACAATAAATCATTTTCTAGATACATAAAAAAAACTCTGAACCTTACTTTACTAACTACTGAAGGGCCCTGAAACTTTGCCTCACTTTTGGTGAGGAATTTGTTCCATGATTATCACAAAACTGTTTTTCGGGATACTTAAATGTGACGATGGCGTACAAATCCATGAGAAAAAAATTTATATGCTCATGTAATCCTCTCTGTTGTTGAACGTCTTCTGTAAAAGCTGAGACAAGTTATTGAGTGTCTTCTGAAGAACGAGTACCATCATCGAGTCGATTCTGGCTTTGCTGGTTTCTTGTCAACGGATTTTCTTTAAGATCGCGAACTCGTGATCTGAGGTCTCCACGCAGAGGACAGGAAAAAAAATCTGAGATCCTCGCCTAGTAGATCACCAGCCAGTCACTGACCAATGCCCTTCATTCCCTCCTCTTATATCCTTTTTGTCTCTCTTTTTTAGTCTCCGGAGGTTTTTTTATCCCAGTAGGCACGGAATGGTTTCAACCCACAGATTGTCTGTAACAAAAGACTGGCCCGAGTACAAAAATATAATTTCATTTCTGAAAAGAAGAACACAAACATGGCGAAAAATAATCCTTCAATGTTTCAAGAGTGTCTTGGGGAGGAGGAGGAGGGGGAGGAAAGAAACTCAGAGGATTTTCGACAAAGAGTTTAAGACCAATCGAAGAGCTGAAGCACTGTGGAAGTATTGCATGCAGAGTTTTCATTTCCATATCTTGAGGAGCGTGAGTCACTGAGAGGTGTTTGTTAGTCACAAACTGTGAGAGGAGGTTAAAGTCCAACCCCCCCCCCACCTCCCAGCTCAGGTTTTATGTCCTAATCACCCCGTTACTGGGAAGCTGTTTGGGAAGACAGGGCTCGTCAGGCAACGGGTCGTGGGCAAAAACTGAGTCGTCTCCTGAGGAGCAGGTGCTGTTGGAGTCCTGACAGGTGGGCGAGTACTGCTCGAAGGGCACCGCCAGGTCCAGGTACTCCTGTCAGGGGAGAGGTCAAAGTTTAGACCGTGGTGTCAAAGACAAATCCCTTCTCTGGTCAAATAATCAAATGACGAATTATATAGTTTTTTTTAGCATGTTAAGTTCTACAGACCATTACACATTTCTTTAACACTGTAAATACTGAATATTATTAAGACTTGCACATTATTTTCTATAGTTCTGTTTGAGTTTAACTTGTACAAATTCATTGAACACAAACAACCTAACATTTTAAAGACACAGTGAAATATTTTAGGTAGAAAATACATTTTCCAAGTTATAATCCTGCATCCCTGTGTTCATTGTTCTTGTTATAAGATAAACATATGATATAAACATGATTTTATATCAAAACTCTCTTTTCTGTTCCTGTAAAACATAATTTTTTTCCTGATAACTCATCTTGAACTTGGAAGCGTATTATGTAAATGTGTCCGATCAAATATGATATCGGGCGACTAGCTATCTCCGCCCATCCTATGAAACCATATTTTACTTTACAGTTTAGTTAGCTTGTGGGTCGTAGTTGAATTTGACTATTCCAAAGAATGTGATTATGCTCTAGTTTACTTATTTTTCCCTTGTCCTCAGACTCCTGATCAAACAATATGGGTAAAGGCCACTCGCTATACCATGCCCACTTTTTAGCAGTGCAATAAAATCAGAAGGAACTGATAAAGAAAACATAATAAACTAACTCTGTCCAACTCTGTGACTTTAAATGCTTTAACTTTAAGAAATGTGTTTTCTAGTTAGTTATAGCTTTATGAAGTGAAACATTACTGTCGTGAAAAGGTGAAAGTTTTGTGCTCATGAGCAGCAGCTGTGCAGGTAGACTTACATCGGTGGAGGTCATTGATAAAACCCGGTCGTGATCTTCTACCAGCTGTCTGAAGGTTGGTCTCTGTGACGGCACTGCATGCCAGCACTCCCTCATGATCATATACCTGAAATACCCACATCAAGCATCAGTTACTCTGCATCTCATCCATTAAAAATGTATTTAATACAAATATTCTCAGATCTTTTACTGTTTCCAATGAATCATATTGGTCTACTTGATCTGCAGCTGGATTGTCATGGTCTGTAATTAAGGTTAAAGCAAAGTAATCTTTTTAAAGATTTGCTGCAAGTAGACGCATTTCACCACAGTTTACAGTAAAGGAAGTCGTCATGCGACAACCACAGAATGAGGAGAAAACCCAACTGAGTTGTTGATTGCGTCAATGCATCTCTCAAAGTTGTATTAATGACTAAACTAAAAAGTGTTTACAGTTTCAATGAAGCTGTTTCAAGACTTTTAGATTAGCTTTTTGAATGTTCAAAATTAACACTGATAAACTTATTTATTTTATTCACTAAACCTTTGTGCTCATTGTCAAGAGAGAACACTGAATATGAGTACAGAATAAAATCTGATTTTATGATTTGGAGGTTTTTTAGACAGCGGTTACTATGTGAAACTTTTAACGAATTAAGCGGAAATGAAAGTGGTTTATCATCTTTCCAACTAGAGCAGGTATAAACCAAAATAATATAATAATAATAATAATAATAATTATTGTGTTTTTTCCTACCCAGGTAAGGTTAATCTGCCTCCTGTAAACAAGGTGATCAAATTGAACTATAAGTCATTCAAACACCTACAGTTCATGGGTGCAGTTGGCAGGTTTGTCCATCCGATGTCCCTCCTTCAGCAGCTTAAAGAGTTCTTCTACTGGGATCCCTGGGTACGGTGAGCCCCCCAGGGTGAAGATCTCCCACAACAACACCCCATAGGACCATCTGAACACACACACACACACACCCAACACACATTGAATACAGATTAGAGGTCAAAAGGCACTCATGACCTGAAGCAGTCAAGGTGCAAAAAACCCCAATGAATCTTGGTTGGGGAAATATTGATCTTCAATAATGTTTACTGCACCCAATTTAAGAATCAATTTGACAGTCTCATTGTCAGGGACGGTCAGTCAATATTTGTAAAAATCAACAACTCGTCCCTCAAGCCAGAAAGCGAAAACTTATTAGAAAGAAATGGAAGACCGATTTTGCTTTATCCATGCCGCATCCTTTAAGGGCTAATTTGCACAGATAAACTACAAAACCAACTCAACACAAACGAAAAAAGTCAGATCAAAATCAGCAACATATTAGCATTTTTGTATCTTGGTTGTGTTTCCGTTTCAAAAATTATCCCTGTCAGATCCTTTGAAACTGGACTTATGTGAGCTACATCTAGTCTCCAATGTGAAACTTTCTTTTGACACATAAACAACTATTTTAAATGCATCCACATTTGGACGTGGCTCATAATGTATCTTGACTACCATACTGTTTCCAAAAATACAAAGCGAGTGAGCACAAAACATGAATGGAAAAATTTATTAATCTGTATCTACAGTTACAGTCCAGCTGCTGCCTGTTCTAGGAACTCTTTATATGTCTAACCTGATCTGTCCTCTCTTTTTCTTTCTGTGTCTGTGGCAGCAGCTCGAGTTTACTGCTGTATTATTCCTAAAGGGCTAAATGAGGGAAGATAATCAGATAATGGTGGTCTATTAACCCAGTGTACTATTGTTTGGCTTTTCGTCCAGTGAATCAGAATCAGACCCCTCCTCCCACTGTGGTTCTCAGCGGGCTTAATCTAATTATCCACGCTCGAGTCCAGAGGGTTGAAAACAGCCGATACTGGCCGAGACGGCTAGTCCCCCATGCAAACACAGAGAGTGAAAGGAGACTGAGGACTATGGTGAAAGAGAGACATCTATATTCAGAGGTAAAATAGGGGATACAGAAACAGTAGACAGAGCTGTAGTTGAGAGTAATCAGCCAGACAACTGAACTCTTACTAAGTCATTATCATTGTGTTCTGGACGTGAACAAATTAGGTCTTTAGGGTCGGGACGGGTTCAGGACGATCTCAGGGACGACTACAGGAATCGGCAGCCACAGATTCAGGCTGTTTATATTCACTGCTTGTCGTCTGGCATGAATTTTCACAAGCTATTAGGTGGCTAATGGGAGGTAATCAAGATGCTAACACCTTATTTTTCATTGGCACCTTTAGCAATAAAACATGAACTGCCAACATCACTGTGATGATTGATTCTGTTATTCATACGTTAAAATGTGACCTGTTTCATGACAAAAAAAAAATCCCAAAAGGGTTTAGTATTTATTCCTGTCAATGTGGGAAAGCTGCATCTGAAACTGCATCTACAACAATATCAAAGACAAAGACTAAAACACTCTAAGATCAAATTTGGACACAAAGACAGTTTCTTGTGCTTTCCTTTTGCACATAGATTTCTGGCTCAGCCAAAATATATTATTACTACTCATTATCCAATGCTATCTGCTTTATTTGTCCATCAGCCTATCCCATGAAAAGTCTGCCTTGCAGAACCTTAGCTATACTAGCAAAGTGGCTGGGGTAATTTTGATGGTGAAAAGTAACAGAACAGCAACTTTGTTGTTTTATAACAAGTTTTATCAATAAAGTTGTTGTCAATACTGAAAATGTTGATGGAGTTTTCAATCTTTAAAACTACCTCAATTCTACAACAATAACTGGAGTTCTTCACTCTTCACTCACATGGAAGTACAACACCACACCAACATCATTTAGTCTGTTACTGCAACTAATGACGCATCCAAGGAGCAGCCTCCATCTGTAGTCTCAGTCCTGTTTTTTTTTATAACCACTTAACCACAGGTTTTTGTATAGGCTGTCAACCAAGACACTGTAGATCTTATGTCAGAAGATGCTTTGTAACACGTTTCAGCTCAGTTAGGAATAGGTTGTAATAGGATTTGGTGAAATCATGATAGGAAGTCAGTCCTTTAATATATGTGGGGAATGTGGGATTTTTTCATCTATGTAAAAGCAAACCAGGGTTTTTAGGTATTTAAATCACGATCTTATAGATCTTATCCATACTGCCCTACCCTATCTATAGTTAATCTTGCCGATAGAGCAAAACCTACCAGCATCAAAGTCTATTGTTCGACTGTACAGTGATCAATTTATTGACTTATTGGTACGCTTTCTATCTTTTAAATTATTTATGTGAACACCAAAAGCTCATATATGCTGCATATTTAATATGACAGCTGGGCTTCAGCACCCTATCCACATTTGCTGCTTTTAATGGGTTGATACGTCGCCCTGAAGGTGCAGTGAGGTGTGTTCTCTTTGTTCTGCAGCTTGTACAGACTGTCACCTCTGAAGCTGTTCAAAATAAAATCCTCACCTCCAAGATTTTGGCAGATGGAAAACCCCAATGGCTGAAGAATTAAAAGGTCTATATTGGCACTAAATAACTCTGGTATTTTAAAAAGTGAATTCAGGTCTAAGTTTGTTAGAAACTGTCACTTGGAATCGCAATGTGATGAAGCAAATTACTTTTAGGCACACTGTTTTTCTGTACAAAAAATGTGTGACACGACATCCTACAAAAATGCCTCACTGCCAGTTGTGCCATGTGAGCTGCTGCAGGCAAAAGATTCCTCATATTCCTTTTCTTGCTGTTTGACTGTGAGTGTGACAGATTTGTTTTAATGTGTTTTAATTGTCCCCCATCTATTTTAGCGAAACATATTTCAGTGAAAATCATCACAGGTCAAAAGTCAAAGTCCCCTGGGGTCTGTGAGAGTAAACTGGCTGCAGAGCGACTACTGTATAAAGGGAGGAGGAGGTTTGGCCGGAGGATTGACTCTGTAATCCAGACCTGCTGAAATAACAGAGCAGGCTGATTCTCCTCTCGGACCGTTCCCAGTCTAGTGTAATCACATGGCGAGCCAGTGTTGACAGGGGCCCGTGTTTGGCTTGGATGGCTGTACTGGGGACACAGCGTCTGGCTGCAACCGGTGGGAGGATGAGGAGCAGTTTGGGGGGTGTTCAGCAACCGCAAGACAGATTGACTTTGTGACCTCCTCGCCTAACTTGCCTTTATTCTCCTGATCGCAGCCAAAACAGGAGCAATCAGGGGTCGCACAGGGTGCATTTGTCTATACAGACCCGATTCCTTTGAATTGCTAAATTGGAAAAATGCCCCGAGGGAACACCTTGTGATAAATCCACTGACCCTCTTATCTCCTTCTGTTATGGGGCAGGTTGGATTTGCACTGATAAAACAACTATAAGATGTTGGAGCTCCGTTGTGTTTCTGTCTCTCTCTGATGTCGTGTTTGGAGATTAAAGAACAAACGCAGCGAGGAATGTGGAGCCGCTGATATGCAAGAAGCTCAGGATTATCAAGTGAACACAGATGACAGCGAGCGGGGAAATATTTGGAAAGGGAATGCTATGATTCCATATTCACACGCATGCTGCGTTTGATGCTAATACGCTCAGTCACGATATTTCAACACCCGGATTCCTCCAGTGTACAGCAGCACCACATGAGTGGACTGTTGGCATACGACGGTTAGTTTGTGCAAACTTACACATCGCTCTGGTGCGTGTAGACCCGGTCGAACAGAGCCTCCGGAGCCATCCATTTCACGGGCAGACGACCCTGCAACAATAGAGGCACAACAGAACCGCTTCGGTCAGCAGAACCATTCTGTACAGAGCAGACAGCGAAATATGGACCTAAACAACAGAGTTGTGTCTCGTCCTGCTATAACTGTCCTGTCACCTTGTTGTTAAACTTCAGCTAGACTGCTACCACATACATTTAGCAGGTATAAAGTGTTATGTCTGTAATCTTCACTCCACAAGCTCCACAAATATAGTTCTAAAGGTTTCATTACTGCCACAAAAATTCATCAGTGTCATATTGATATTTTGAGCATGAATATCATCTCAATTCTTTGGACAGTTGTAGCTCAGTAAACTGTATCTCCCTCAACCTGTTTCCTTCTGTGACCTGATAATGACACTGGACACTTTCATTTAAAAAAAAAAAGTAGAAGAAACCTGATGGAATGAGACTCACGTTTGTGGTCTTTTTGTAGTAGTCTATATTGTGCACGTCTCTGGCGAGACCAAAATCGGCGATCTTCATAATGTTGTCCTCCGTCACAAGGACGTTTCTGGCTGCCAGGTCTCTGTGGATACACTGAGGGAAGAAGTACAAATACATCAAACACACATCAAGACAAAGCATTGCACAGACACGTACACTCGTACACCATGGACAACTTTCATTTATCACTGTCTGACTTTATTACTCGCGCCTACATGGCAAATATTGACCTTTGCCCAAACCCTAAAACCTCATCCTATAACCATGAAACATATTAACAATAAACCATTAACTAACCTTAAAGCTAGGATTGATAATTCATTTCAGAATCATTTTTTGTTATATTTGTTTATTTTTTATCCCGACAGCAATCAAAAAATCAAATGCTCTGACACAAAAATGAGAATACCGTAGCTTTAAAACTGATTTAAACCAAATCCCAGTGAGGTTATTTTTATTTTGCAAAAATCTTAACCCTAACCCTAAACCATTCCAATTAACTCCTGTAAACTTTAAAAAATAATAATTGAATAAAAAAATATTCAACACTGCAAAGGTCAATTTCTGTTCACACTTGTCAATCTTAGAAAGTTTAGAAAGATAAGTACTAGATAATAGATTCCTATATTGGAAGATTTTCCTTGTCTTTTCATTTCCTTTAGTATAATATTTACATGCTGTAGGGACAGATCCTCCTTAACATGGATACATCCACACACAGACGCTCAGCTCAATCAAATAGCACACAGTATTTGCATTTCATTATTCGCGACACAGCATGGCGGCTGACCTTCTGCGAGGCGAGGTACTCCATGCCGCGGGCGACCTGGTAGGCGCAGGACACCAAGTCTTTGAAGGTGAGCTGCTCGTCGGGTATTTTACAGGTGTCAAAGGAGTAGTCCATGCCCGGGGGCCGCCGCGCTCGCAGGTACTCCCTAAGGTTGCCTTTAGAGGCATATTCCACCAGGACGTAGAGAGGACCTGCATGCAACAGAGAGCACAGAGTCACTTTCAGAACACAGTTAATTATTGTGTTATCATCTCCTCTGTAATGCAGCGTGGCCTCACCGTCCTGCGTGCACGCTCCGAGCAGGTTGATAATGTTTTTGTGTTTTCCAATCATCTTCATCATCTCCATCTCTGACACCAGGTCTGACAAATCTTTATCTGTGGCGTCATCTGAGATGAACAAAAAGAACGAAGTCAGATCAGAAGAATAGCAAGTGAGAAAGGACAAAAATAAAAGCAGGAGAGGACAAAGATTTTTAAGCATATGGGAGACATGAGAAATCACAAACCAGATAAACTATTATATATGCAGGGAAAGGGAATACATGAGGAAAACACAGCAAGAAAGACACAATGCTGCTGATTTCCTTCAGGAAATCACAGAGCACAATACCATCACTGCCACTGTCATTGTATTGATTCATGAAGTGCAGTCACAACAGTCACTAACCTTTCAACATTTTCACAGCAACAGTGAGTGGCTTGTTGGGCTTCTCCTTGTCGATGCCGATGGCCTCGGCCATCACCACCTGACCGAAGCAGCCCTCGCCCAGAGGTTTACCCAGAGTCAGCCTGAAACAAAAGCAAGAAAATCTCAGAGTTTGGATTTTTGCTGCAAGCAGCACTGAGGGATGTTTTTATATTTCTGTCTGCAGTTTTGAATGAGAGCGATTTTATTGCCAAGTACAATAAGCGTGGAGGAAGGTGTCATGGTGACCTTGATGTATTGACGGCTCACATGTTTTCACAGCACATAACGGTACAAGGACAACAGCACAGTATCTGTCAATTCTGAAATATGTTGTTTGGCAGTATGAAAAAGCCACAGACCACCATGTTTTCTTTCTGACAGGCATTTAAACAGCAGCAATGAATAATTTTTCTGTGTGTCTCTTACCGTGTTCGAGGAAACTCCCATTTGGGGTCGGAGGGCAGTTCCAGCTCCGAGACGTTGGCCAGCATCGGTCCATCGCTAGATGACAGGCGCGCAATCCTGACCAATGGGGTGTTGGAGTTCATGGAGGAGTTTGAATCCAAGGATACCTGCTTGGGTGCAAAAACAAACTGTTATAGTCTCTGAAAAGGGTGAAGTGATGTGTGTATAAACAAAGAGATAGAGTGAAGAGAGAAAGCCTAACACAACCTTTGACCCAACACAGAACATATCTCTTGATCTTGATGGATAGGTAGTTTCACAGATTGTAATGACCTTTTTTTCAAGTCAAAATTGAACTGCTTTAAAGAAACTAAATTAATTTCCAGTCACTTGTAGACTATTTAAAAAAGGCTAATTGATTTTGAATGTCAAAGACAAGGCCAATAACCCAGCGACAGAAATTTTAAACGCAATTAAAACAAATATTTCCTTGTAAGATGATGAAAACGTTTAAGCTCTGGTTTGTAGAGAAACTGTGAGTATGAAACTTCACAGAAGAACTGCCACCAGTTAACCTTGGTTTGAACTTTTTGATGTAAAAACAACATTTTAGGACTGAAAAAGATGATGGAATAACTTGTCAAGATGGAATGCTTTTTGGCAGCGACAGACTGCAAACATGACACGTCTCAGGACCAGTGTCAGGGCTCTTTCAGCAGCTCAGAGTTTCTCTGAAAAACAGCCTGACTTCTGACACCGGCAATGACTTTTACAAACAGCCGGCCTGTGGCTGTGCACAGGAGGAAGCAGGCAGTAACAAAGATGAATGAAGGAGGATGCAGAGGTGGGCGAGCGCGTGGCCAGGTGGGATGGACGTCTCTATCCATCAGCGAGCTCCATTTCCAGACCGGCTGTCCTGCCGTCGAGTCTGTGGGCTCGACGTCCCCCATCATTTATCTGACTGCTGAGAGCTAATGGCTCCGACCCTGCTTTTGATGAATCTGTTTGTGTCAGAGTCTGCCAGCTCAACCCCTTCAGGTAGTGCCTTGAAACAAACATGTCCACTCACCAGACTTCCCTCCTCAACTTCTCGACTGGAGGAAAATGAGAAAAACACTGTGAAGCTAAAAAAACCCAGCCCCAACCACAATTTCAGAGGCATGAAAAGTAATATCTGATAGAACATGCCAGGGGGTTTATGGGAGATTTACTCGGAGTTATGAAAAAGAAAGGAGAGAACCAGGAGATTAGCTTTACAAAAACTAAGCAAAGATTACAGAAAAATGCAATAAGATCTTTCCCTGGACTACCTTATAAGAGCATGTAGTATATGAAGGTAGCAGAATAGAAAAGATTTAGAGGCTACAATTAGAGCATCTTTCAAAAGATGGGTTTATACTTGATATAACCTAACAAGGCTGCTTTTACGTTTCAAAAAAATACAACCTTTCCAGCTAAATCCTGACTTTGGTTTTGAAAGGCATGTGTTTGTTTTCCAAGAACTGAATCGTGACTTTCAAGTAATAGTTTTCTCTTCTAAAAATGCATCTTTTTCGCATTCTGAGGATCACAACCCTTCAATTATGAAGCTGGAAAGCTGGAGCTCGCACAGAACAACCACCCAGCGGCTGTGTCCTGGACACAGTGGGAGTCCAGCAGGGTGGGGCAGGATGGAGAATGACAAGCTCATCTGCATTTTAGACATTCAGATGATCTTTGCACTCAAACATATCACAAGATGTAAGTCATTCTGGCCCAGCAACATTGCAAGAAACCAAAAGAATGAGAGCCAAACTGAACTGCCTGTTTGGAAGACTATATAAGACAGAGAAGTAATAAGAAAATAAATAGAAGCTCAGGAGCTCAGAAGTCTTTTGGTGAGAGTAAAGTGGAGTGAAGAGAGGCGAAGATGAGGGTGAGGGCAAACTAATTAGTCTGGACAGGGAAAGCCTGCAAAAGGAAAGGTACTCTGGCTTGGTCTTCAGAAAGCCTTTTTCACTTCTTGGACATGTCTGATTCTCGTTCCTGTTTTGACTCAGACCTGTCCTGGTCGAACCACTGATGGATGTTGACTCAACTTTCTTTCCTGCCTGTCTGTGCAACCCCCCTGAACAATCTTGCAAAGCCAATGCTTTCCATATAAACATAATTTCCTACCACTTACACAGGCACCTAGACTGTAAATTAAATGTATTTCTTTTTCTGACCAACATACCTTTAAGATACATTTAAATGGTAATCTACCAGAATACTCAGATGTGGATCTACATCACAGTATAACCAACTCTGACCTAATCAAGAAATGTCTGACCACCAAAGTTGCAGATTTGTCCAAAACTTTTTGTGTTTTTGGAATTTTCTATTTTCCTACAAAAAGATAAAGAGAGTTTTTTGATGTTTCAGTTATACAAAAGTCAAAAGATTTAAAACCGTAAAAACTTTGATGCTCTATATATTCAGTGGTTCGGTTTGGAGCTACATTGTTTAGAGCTGCTCATACTTAAAGGAATAGTTTGATGTTTTGGAAAATAGGATTATTTGCTTTCTTGCCTAGAGTTAGATGAGAGGATCAATACCACTCTCACATCTGTCTGTTAAATATCAAATCAAATAAGAGATAAGATTTTCCAAAATGCCAAACTATTCCTGTAATCCTTGAGACTTGCTTTTAGTCAATTGACTATTTTGGTCTTAATTAAGACTTTAGAAATACTTTATTGAAAAAAAAAATTCTTTATTCTTTATCATGTTTGAACTTTATGCTTGGGTTTGACTTGGACTTGACAGAGGCTTGTATTGAATGGGGTCTTAAGAGACAATGTTGGGAAGAGTTCTGCAGACTAGGCTGTGGCGATGCAGCTGCTCCACTTTATGTTTCTCTCCAAACAGTTGAGGGGCGAGTGTGTGTTACACAGAGAGTGAAATCTAAAACTAACACTGACAGTCACAGGAGGGCATAAATATCCCTGAGCTGAATATGCTCCAAGATAAATGTGAACACATGTCACCAGTGTGATGCCTTCCAGCGTCCGCACATCGTCATCAAAACAGCAGGACAGAGTGAGAGATCCATGACAGATAGACGTATATATAATAACCATCTCTATTTATTTATATTCATAAGCTTGTGTGAGTCCTGTCCTGCGTGCAATTCTTCTTTAGTTATAAGTTACAGAAGATGAAAAGACAAATATTGCAAATACTTCTGCAAGTTTCTCATTGTGGCACAAATGCAGAAAAATTACACAATTTTTCCATGACTCTCCATCCATCTCTCCATGTCAGTGATTACTAATACAGGGTGCTTCCTGGAGTTAATAATGTTTCTCCCTCCTTGAGGTTGTTTTTCACAATAATCTAAATTCTGTTTCAGTACAGTTCAAAAACTAAAAACAACTGAACAGCATCTGATGCAACGGATGTGTTTAAGTTCTGGATATCTCTTGATTTCTTTTAAATAATCTGTATTACACCCAGAAAATTCAACAGTTTTCCAGGAGTTCAAGGACTCTCAACCGCTGCAATGTCTCTAAACCTCCTAAGGAAGCCAAGTCAGTTTGGTGAAATGCTGATGAATTAAAAAAACTGCGCAATAGTTATGGTGAAAGTCCCTCTAAGATGACAGGTGTAGTTTTATTTTAGTGTTTTTCTCTTTTCTAGTGGCTCGGATGATGTTTTCACAGTTTTGTGAGAAAAAAATGCAATATTGCTACATAATTTCAACATCATCTGCCCTATGTTGAACCAAAGTTATTATAAATATGATAAACGTTAAACTAAACAGACAGAAAAAGAGGTAAAAGTGTTTATACGAATCTTGTATCTACTTTCTGTTACCTGTCTCTTGAGGGGGAACTTTGATAGTTTTTGCACAGGCGGTGTGGGCAGCGTCTTCTGCGTGGTCATTCTCATGCGACAAAGGACAACGATGACCACGGCGAGGATGAAGAGCACACAGCCCGTAACATAGATGAGTATGTCGGCGTAGTAGTCTTCCTTCTCCGGGCTCACTGCTTTTGGAGGAGGATGTCACAAGCATGGGAAGTTAGTCAAAATACACATATTGCATGAAAAACATGACATATCAACATAACAATAACATTTTTATAATCTAGTGTTTTTTATTCTATTCCACACCTAGACCCATCTTTTTTTGTAAATAATTAAAAAGAAATATTGCTTTGCTCAGTAGCACCTTTTACCCAAATGGAAAAAAGCAGTTTTCTATGGAGTAACATCTATAAATCAAACCAGAAACATATCATAAAGTAATCAGCTTGTAGTTTTATCCTGCAGCTGGTAATTACACCTGTGATATGCTTCTTCCTGGGGAGGTAATTATTGTGCTGAGAGCCGAACACAGAAATGTCTTTAAATTGCCTCGTAGCCTTGAGACATTTAAACAGACGATCTGCTCTGATTACAAAGCGTCTTTCAGTGGAGGCTGGATTGCATGTTCGGTTCGTCCAATTAAAGGGGCAATGACACAGTTGCAGTGCACTTGAAAGGTGCTAACAATCAGCAATCCATGATAATGTACGATAATTAGGTTTGAAAATGAACTCCGCTACTGAACAAAACATGAAATTGTCCAAAAAAAACAGGACAGTAGCAATCAAATTTTCATGGAGTTTATAACATTTGAGGTGGAAAAAAAAGACGTCAAGAGTCCAAAGAGACAGAGAGAAGAGGAATATACCTGGAAGCACTGTCAGCCAGGCAGAGTGGTAAGCATAACCGATAGAGTTCCCTGCCAGACAAGTGTACTCGCCCGCATCCTCAAAAGACACATTGGTCAAGAAGAGAACCTCTAGCTCCTTATCTGTAGTGTTAATACCAGCCGTCTGTGGAGGATGGAGAGGGAGGGTGGGTAAGATTGAGGAGGGAGAAAAAGAAAGAGAGAGGGAAGAGATATCATAAGCCCAAAGCTTCTTAGAGGAAACACCAAATACACCCTGAAGGAAAGGACAGTACAGAGGATTTGAAGGAGTCAGCAGTGCTGTTTTCTTCACTGCACCGCCAGCAACACCTGAAAACACCCAAGCAGCACCTTCACCATGCTGCAAAAGAAGCTTGCTGGTTCAATCTAAAACCACACACAACCCAGAAACGTTTCCCACTGCAAAAAAATATTCCTCTTATCAAGTATTTTTGTTTTACCTGTTATTATGTCCTAAAACATGTGAAAAAGTCTGACATTACAATAAGTTTATTTTAACCAACACTAATAAACTAATAACTAACTAACTAATAATAATGTTTCAAGAACGTTAAAGTTTATATAGTAGGATGGCAATCTGCTTTATTGTCTTCCTTAAAGATACTCAGTGTAGAAAATCCTTGAAACAAGAGAAACTGTATTAAAAACAGGTTAAAATTTTCTTATAGCAATATCAGCTTTTATCATTTCTTTTAAGAAACCAGAATTTTAGTGCTCAGTAATAGACAAAAATGACTTGATAAGATGTACATTTTTGTGCTGACTTTTTGTCAGTGTTGCTGCTACAACATGAGTTTAAATTAAACCAGCGTAAAGTTTACCAGACACCAAAGCAAAGAAAACCCCTCACCACAGGCCTTGTCTGCAGAAATGATGGTGCCGGGTGCAGGCAACATCGGATTTCTTTTATAACCTTTAATGGAGTTTGTTATACTGTTCTTATATTTGAGCTTCAAGCATGGAATTTAGGATGTTGTTCTTGAATGTTTTTTTTTAGCTCTATTTGATTTTTACATTTGTATGGCTAGGGATGCCTTAAGGATCTGTTCTGGGTCCACTGCTTTTTGTTAATAGATTCAAAGACTTCTTTATGGTTTGTACAGATCTTCTACTATTGTTGTTTGCTGATCACACAAATTCCACATTAAAATTTAGTTCACTATTTCAAATAACCTTGAAATTGAGCAACACGGAGTTTTCCCCCTTTGATTAATGGTTGGTTTGATGACCAGTGGGGGAGTATGTGTCTGATGTGGCTTGGTGGGTTGTGGGGGTTGGGTACTCTTGTTCCCCAGGCCTCAGTAATGAACAGTGACATCCAGACCCAGTCATGAATCAGACTCCTGCCCGTGCTTTCAAATAAAAGCACATTAATACAGCTGGAGAATACACTCCCAGGGAAATCAATACCGGCCTGTGTGTGTGTGATACGATTTGGTCGGTGGGGGGGTTTCATATGTGTGTGTAAAGGTGGTTTGGGGGAGAGCGAGGAGAGACTTTTGAAGTTACTGCAGTAATTAAAGGTGCAATATTGTGTTTGTTATTGACCGGGAAGGAAGACAAAGTGGCACTGGGCGTTAAAATGGATGATAGCTCCTAGCTAACCGAATGTGAGCATTTAAACTCAGAGGACTTGTGCATGTGTGTGTGTGTGTATGTGTTTGTCCTATTAGCAAGCCAGTGAGCCAATCAAACCCACAATGAATAGGAGTCCAGCAGAGAGGAGGAGACACAGCGGAGGATAAAATGTGGTGAAGGCGGTTGTCGCTCGGCGCTCATGATTTACCTGGTTTGTGTACCATAAGCCAGAAAGCGTTTTCTGATTTGCCTACAAAGTTTGAGGCGCGGCACCAATACTTCCCAGAATCTTTCTCTGTCACGTTGAACAGATTCAAGTTACTGTGGGCCTCAGTGTGTTTACTGACAACACTCTGTAAAGGGGAAATTGAGAGGCACAGTGAGGCCTTTACAGCAAGTTCCTGCAACAACAGATGTAGACAACATATATGTAGACCTGCAGAACACACACACACACACACACACACACACACACACACACACACACACACACACACACACACAAACACACTCTAATTTCTAATTTGTATACTTTTATATCTCAACAGTTCAAAAGGGAAATAATGTAAAGTATATTGCTAGTTAGCATTTACTGTTGCGTTTATATCTGCTAAGGTATGACAAATAGAAAGTAGCTACTAACTATACAGAAATGCAGAAATGCTTGATCAATTTCAAATGAAAACAATATAGATATGAGCTTTTTTTGGTGGAAACAAGCAAGTTTTGCTGCCAGTGCAGTAAGTTATTTTTATTTGATTGCTATACAATACTAAATTATTCCATTAAGTATAATACGAATGCAGAACTTTGACTTGTAAGTGAGTACGTTCACATACTATACGCCTACAAGTACTGCTAATTTACACTGAAACCTGGACAGACATACATACACAGAAAGACACACAAACACACACATGTACACACACACACACACACACACACGTCTCAAGCTGTCTGTGAGATTAAAAGCATTACAATGTCAAACCTGTAAGATCACAAACATAAACACACACACATACACACATGCTCCATACATTTCATAGTAACACAAGTTGTCTATTGGTAGATTAAAGGAATTTCAATATGTCTATATTCACTAAGTGTGTGCGCTGCATGCATAAACACACACGTGCTCTCACACACACATTGCTTGTGACTCCAGCAGAGAAACTGCCGATGAATAATTAAACGGGCAAAGCACATAAAGGAGAAAACATATCATGTTTTATGGCTGCTTAATGAACATTCAGGGCTCGGCTCCAGACGCCTCCCTCTCCCTCTCCATGCTGGGGCTAGTCGCTCATCGTTAACTCTTTTTTCCAGGCATCAAAAGAGGATTCAGGCATTTCTCAAAAAAAAAAAAAAAAAAAATAGTATGATACCCTCCTCCCACCCACAGCTGTATTTAACTGCTACAGTATATGCCACACATGAAATGTCGCAGGGAGTCTGAATGAACTGTGGTGGGGCCATATAGAGAGAGACAGAGAGAGGCACACGCAGATCTCAGTAAATACTGTTTCAATTATGTGGTAGTCGAAAATAGAGCGTGGAGCCGCGGTCTAGGCTGACAGGCCTGCTCCCCCCCACCCTTTCTGTTGGCCTGTCTTTCTCCTCCTCTTTCTCTCCTTCTTCCTCTCTCTCTTCCTCCTTCTTCTTTCTATCTTACTTTTTCTCTTTCTCAGTCACCACCTCCTCCTCTCTTCCTCTCACTCTATATCCCCTTTCAGTTATGCACCTTAAATGTGCTGGAAATTTTACGTATTGGTTGTAAAAGTTGTGACGGCAATCGGATCTAGAAGCATTTCTGTAACACTTCCAACAAGTCCATCAAGTCTGAATCAAATGCCGTCACTTTAATGTAAAGGCTACAGAATGTAGAAGGTTAAATAAACAGAGAGAGATTGAATGGGTGTCTTGTTCTGTCTTCTTAGAACACTGTAATACATTTCTCATAATTATCAATTCTTATGCACAAAGAAAAAGAAGTTTAAACGCTGTTTCAGGCAATTTATCTAATCATTAAATACTGTGAATGAGCCAGTCTTAAATGACCAGTTCAGAATTGTATTAGTGAGCTTTAGAAGTTCTGGTAAGAATATTTTGTTATCTTTAGACAGAGCAAGGCAAGCTGTTTCCAGTCTTTTTGCTAAGCTAAGCTAACTGTGGTTTCATATTTACTGTACAGATATGAGAGTGATATCAATATTCTCATCAAGTTTTTAGCAAGAAGTGAATAAAGCTATTTCAAACTATATCTTTAAGTTGAGAAGGTTCCACTTATGTCACATCATGTTTACTGTGTGTTCAATATTTTTTTATCTCTCGCAACTCAGGGACAGAAAAGGAATAATCATCAGTCCATCAGTTTCCCCTTCATTTTAACTTCCATGCCAACTGTTAAATATATATAAATATATCGTACTTTCGATCTAATAATTGATTAGAAAACTAGTGAGAGGCTAGGGTGATATCTAGCACTCACGAAGGTTATTATCTAAGGCTTCCACTGCAAAATAATTCATCATTGATGCAGCCGGTTGCAAAGGTGAGAGCCTGAGGACACTCTTCTACCTTAATATGATTATTTTTTAACTCACTGCTGAATAAAATAGACCTAAGCTTGAAAGCCCCAATTCCGTCACTTCAAGAAAATGAAGCCAGCAGTGTTACAGATATGTTACAGATTGCATGTCTGAAAAGGACTTGTTTTTGTCACTCTCTTCTCTTTTTTCAATTTCATCTCTTATTTCTTTCTTTCTCATTCTTTCTGTCTCCCCACCTCTCTCACCTCCCTCCCACTCATTCTCTAAGTCTCTCGCCCGCTGTCTTTACCCACCACTCTGTCACACTTACTCTCTCTCCCTGCTGACTTTGCCCTTCCTTGTGTTCCTCCACTCATTTTTTCCATGGCTTTTTTGGTTGCCTCTTTGCTCTTTCCTCTCTTCTCCTCCTCCTCCTCCTCAAACCACGCGACGCAGCACATCTGACGGCAGTGGCGGTTAACAGAGCCCGTCTCTCTCCCTGCGTTGCCGCCACCGCGGCAGTTAACTTAGTCCAAACCAGATGTTTGTTTTATTCCCTCGCTCTCTCTAGAGGCAGAGAGAAAGAAAAGGGAGAGGCCAAATAAAAAAGCAAAAGCCTTCTTGGTGTTTCAATGGGAGTCTTCCTCTCTTCACCCCAAATAAAAAAGCATGCCTCACAGTGGGTTCAGGGTGTTGTCCTCCTTTGTGAGGAATGCTTACTACTCTATACTTGAACACCACCACTGTCTGGGGAGGGGATGACACCTCCAAGAGTTGCTCTTTAATAGGAGCACACCCTCCTAAGACTATCTGACGACTTCCCAACTGCATTTATTTAACCTTTATTTCATGAGGGAGTGCTTGTGATTGAGCAATGTGTGTGTTGAGCCAGACACACCAGAATATCAGTGATTAATGCATAAGGAATACATGGAGATGCAAGTCAGGTAGACACTCTTTCACAGCCTTGCACGTTACTTAATGTATAATTTAAGAGTTCATTCCAAAACATGACATTGTGCCAGTCAGCAACAAGATGCATCATTGATTCACATATCAAAGTTGGACTACCAGTGTAGCAGGTATGACCTTTAGGTAGATTTATGCTTTTGTCAGGGTGCTAGTATCTCATATATTTTAGTTTTTGTTTTGTCCTCTAGGATTTTCTTTTCTTTATCTGCCCTTTTTCTTATCTTTCAGAAAGTCAAAATGAAGTAGGGCTGTACCGAATAGTGCAAAGCTGTATTCATAACGTTAACATTAGAATTTGTTCTTTCTAAACACAGTATTTCAGCACAGTTGCAGATAAAGATTAGGCTACACTTGTTTTATTAGTATTATACTTTTCGTAGAATTAGATTCCAGTGATGGCTGAGTAGGATTGTTTCCATTTCATTTATCTGATTCACTGCTTTGCTCTCGCCCTCTCTTCATTCACACTCCAGCTCGCGCAAACACTCCTGTCCTCGCTTTATGACGCTCAGCCAAATTTGAATGTGTGTTTGCAACCAGCGACAGACAAATTCCACCCTTTTACGGGGATGACATCATAAAGTATGACGACAGACATTTGAGGCTTCATTTGAAAACCTCATTAGAAGCTTTGAATCTGAAAAATACATTTGATACAGCCCTAAAATGAAGATGCCTATTGTCGTCTAGTATTTGTTTAAAAATTCAAGTTAAGTTCAGGAAAGAAATGTACATTAGGGCCACGGAGAGCTCAATAGAGATTGTTGATAGACAACATGGAGCAAGACGGAAAAAGACCTTGTTACTCTCTTTCTTTTCAGTAAGCCTGGAAAAAAGTAGATTTTATGAGGTCAATTACATGTGAATCAAACAATGTAAACATGATTATTTTGGCAATAATCAAATTTTTAGTACCTAAACAAATTAGTATTTTGCAAAGCTGGAAAGATATGATCTGTATCAAGGCAGATTTACCTCAAGAATAATAAATAAATGTACATGCATGTACTTCCTTTCTCACAATAAGGTATATAACAAATTACATATCCTATTGATCTTATTGTCAGAAGAAAATCATAACACCTTGAAGGAAAAACAATAATCCCCCTTTAATTATGATTTCACTTCATTTAATCCACCATTAACCATTGTTCAGGCCAACAATACAATAAGGTGCCAAAATCCATAATCTCTTTAAGTTTAGTCAAAACTGTAGTGCAGGTGCCACATACATGAGCAGAAACTAGAGATATTATCAGGTTAATGAATGTACATTTCTATATGCTGCAGTACATAAGAAAGTGCAGGTGAAGCTTTTCTTCCCCATATTGAAGGTGTAGTGTTTGAGAAATGAGCTCTTCAATTAAATGCTGCAGTGAAAAGAGCCTGTGGCCCCGCAGACTCACCTACTGTAAAAACCTATTAAACAAGACATTTAGGAGAGATTAATTATGAGTGAAATTATCATATCTACTGCTGAAATCTACTCCAGGCATACGCTGGTGAGACTGTGATTCATTAGAGAATTGAACCAGACCCACCTTCAGGATGTTGACATAGGGGACGCCGTCGGGGCCATAGCGGCTGCCGTTGACCTCGATGTGTTTCAGCCACTGGATATGCGGCTGGGCGTCGCTGTACACCTTACAATGAAACTCCACGTCGCTGCCCACCACCACCGTCTGATTGGCTGGCAGGCCTGCCTGGAGGATAGGCCTGTGAGGGGAACGCTCTGAGACAGAAAGCACATTGGCATAAATCATGCATGGGAATGATGTGCTGCAGGAAATGTAGACGTAAAGTAGTCTTATAAAAATCTTTTTACCATCAACAACTCTCGTGGGTTTTTAAAACCACTTGTGCGTGTTAATTTATTCGTTGTTTACACAGAAGCAGAAGTGAAACTAAATGTTTCCGTGTTGTTTACCTAGCACATCCAGCTGGTAGGTGTGGGTGATGGTGCCGTAATTGTTCTGCACCACACAGGTGTAGTTTCCGCGGTCTGACGGCACGGCACTCTCCATCACCAGACTCCATTGCTGGTGTCTCAACTGGGGAGGAGGAAAGGGAGAAGGGAAGAGGGAGGCGAGAAGGAAGAGGAAAGAATAAATATGCCATTACAACATTTACATTTGTGTGGATACTGGTATTTAAAAAAATCTCAGGGGGAGTTTGGTGTCATATTTGAAGGCCTGAAAAGTGCTTATTTGGTATATTACCACTTATGATAGCACACAGAATCATGTTAAGTTTATGAATTTGCCTCAGGACTTTATATGTCATCCTTTACAAGAAGAATACAATAACTACCGATCTACCGATTTAGAAGATGTATGATTTGCAAATAAGGTGTGAAGATACACTTACAGACACATAAATATTGTACAGTAACCGAAGCTGATATAGAAACGAATGCTGCTGTCATAAACAAAAAATCCTTCTATTTTCACATATAAGCGCTCTGTCCAGAGAAACCATCTTTCCCAGCGTGAGATGTCTTTCCTCACTCCTTCCTTTGATATCCTTTGGTTTAAAACATCACAGAACAGCCAGGTTGGTAAACAAGAGTGTGCTGTGTTCAGCTAATGTTTACTGAGGTGCCAACCCCTTTCAACAAACATTTAAAATGGTGATACAACTTTAACCTCCTTTTATTAATTACATACTGGTTGATGCAGAACAGACGTGATTAGCAGAAAACAATCTTTTGACGTGGTGTAAACGTCTTGATGGGAAACAGTTCTGTGTGACCATAGCACAAAGTAAAACTGATGAAAAGGATTCATGAGTAGGGAGCAGTCTGATTAGGTGTCTGGCGCAGACTTTGGATCATATTTTATTATTTTTTAGTTTTTACAGTGAACAACATGAAAAGAAGAAATGTGATGGCACATAATTAGTAATTCTCAAGGTGCAATATTTCTCCTCAACATATTGCTAAACACTGATAGTAAGAGAATTAAAAACAGAATACCACAAAGCCTCAATCAGTAATTAGACAGCTGGACAGAACATTTCATGAGACAGCTCTGCAAAGTCTCTTAAAAGCATTTCCTTCTCTCTGCTTGCAGTGAGAGGAGGCAGCGTTTTTGCACCTCTGAAATTGGTTCCACTGTGCCAGTCAAGAGCAATCTATCCCTGGAGAGTCGAAGGGTAAATTCTGCGTAGTAATTCAAACCAGGTGTGGCTGGATGGCAGCAGCAAGCAGATACTAACTTGACAGATTCAGAAGCTGCTCAGAGGCAGATTGAGCAGCCCAGCACAGCGAGGCGAGAACAGAGGACCTGCTACGCTTCGATAAGCAGAGTCTCCATGGGCCACGAGGGATGACCTCCGCAGCTTAAGTGGAAACATGCGGCGCAGATGCCGTTGCTGTGCTTACTGCTGTGAGACAAGCGCAGAGTGAACACCTCCGACAGAGGTCAGAATGACTAAAGACAGGAGTGAGTGATGTCAACAAAGAGGCTTTTCAGGGTGGAACACTTAACATCACCTGCGTAGGAAAATGTGCCGACCCAGAGAGGGCTTAGTGTTTTCACAAACGTTTAACCCCCACGTGTTTAGGTAAGTGGCCAACCATTCACAGAACGTATATATTTGTAGGTTGAGGATCACACTCTCCTCCCCTCCTTCTTTTCCCTCTGTCTTACAGTATACACTCCTTGACTCTCTCTTGGAGGCGCATGCGGAAAATAATGTAACAGTGTAAATATTATGCCTGTGTGTGCTTTTTGCAGTTGCATGGTAACATAGACCAGGCAGCCCGCTCAACGCTGGCAAATGTTTTTCAGAGTGGCTGGCTCCACCCCGTCTACCCCTCTCAGAGCCGAGGAGTCAAACTGAAGTCAATGGCTGCTCTCATGAGCAGATGAGTGACGCCTTCTGCTGTGGTCGTTGAGCCCCAAGCCCAGCAGAGAGGAGGGGGAACGAAAAAAACGGCAACGCATAGGGAGGGAAGCTTAAAGGTGGTAAAATATGAGCTGAAGTCGATGCTCAGTAGAGGCCAAGACCACCAACAGAAACAGAAAGAGACTGTGATCAGAGTTATGGTCTTATTTAGGTCTTCGTCTCATTTAAAAGACCTAATTTCATTATAATTTCTGGAACTTAAGTTCTATGTTTCTTTTGAGGTACTGCTACTTTGAAATTATTTCATTTGGATGGATGCTACTTTTTACTCCACCACATTTATCTGACAGCTGTAGTTCCTGTGCATATTCAAATTTTATGTTCAGCTTCAGGCAATCATGGCTGCTGTCAAGAAAAACATCTTGCATTTCACCGCTCAAAATCACAGCTTAGTTTCAGCTCAATAAAACATATATCTTTGACACAATCTGTAGAGGGACATTTAAACCACATGAAAATCCCCAAACTAGGGACAGTAGGAAATAAGTACTTTTTCCAAGTACTTCTGTTTTGTGTCTTATACTTTTTTACTTTTATGTCATTTAAAAGTGAGACTACATAACTTTTTAAATTGGAAATAAAACAACTTTCCACTTACAAATCTTAAAAAACATTTATTCACATTCTTAGTCTGGTATGACCAGTAGCTTATGTTGGCTAATGTTAGAAAATTTAAGGTAGATATTGCTGTGTAATCTATTTCAACTTCAGTTCACTTTGGCTTTTGACTCAGTTCCGCTACTGTTACACTACGTTATAACATAATTGATGAATAGTTATTCCTTTGCTTTTAGCAAAAGTTACATAGTCTTGCTTTAAATGTGGAATTTTACTGCCCCCACTTACAGCTCCTTAGAGTGTGGATAACTACTAGAGAAAAGGCAATTTTCAAATTCAAAGTTATTAATTTGTGGTTTATTATTAACTTTAAGTGACATTTCTACTTTAATTCCCCTCTGTCTTTTCCTTGGCACTTTTAATTATTTTCTCCATACATTCCACTTGCTTTTATTACCATGTTACATTGGCTAACCCTGTTGAACCTGTAGTATTAGTCCCCAAACGTGATAATCCCATCCATTCCAATCACGCCAGATTCCAAACAGAATTAAATTATTAAGGAGCTTACGTTAGAGTCATACGAGGCTTTAAAGCTTTTAGGGCTTTGGCTGTGGACCTACAGAAGGGCGCAAGCCATGGGAATGGACAAGAGTTTCACACTGCAAAAAGTGCGCATCTGAAGGAGTCTTTGCATAAAGGAAAAAGAAACAGGGAGTATGTTGGGTTTTGTATCGAATTCAACATATTGTGTATAAAATATCTTGAGAGAATTAAATGTTACCTGTCTTATTTTGAGGTATTTTTGCTTGCCTTACAGAGCCTGTTATGGAAAACAGTGAAGATACCACAATGACTTACAATAAGGAATTCACAACTAGAATGCCAGCTTAAATGGCTCATAAAAATATATAGACATTTTTTGCAGTGTAGCACTTGTCTGAGAAAACACAGGAAGCTCTGCTCCCTTTATAGTACAAACCCTCCGTCTTCACCTCGCAAAATAGCCCTGCCAGAACCAACGGGGCCAGTTACTAGAATTTATGAGTGTGTCAGAGCGGACCAGTGGCTCGGATATGTGCTACCATCTAATTTGACCCACAGAGAAAGCGGAAACAGATAGAAGCGGCCCTAAGGGCTTGCTATTAAAGCTGGCAAAGTTTGTGGGTCTGTTTCCCGTACATGCCACTGTATCAACATAGAGGAGAAGACTGCAAAGTTTAAAGTATGGTAGTTCAAAGCAGAAAAAAATGAGTCAGAAAACCAAATAAATAGGATAATCTGTATTTTGATATCCATGGTATATTTGGGTAAAATGATAGGGGAGAAAAGTGAATGACCATGGCAGGTCTAAAATTAAAAAGTACAGAAATTCGTACACGGCCTACAGACTCACAATCCAGCCTGTGTTATTTGGATTGGAAAAACAAGGACTTAAAGTCTTAAAAAGTAACAGTGTGGAGCCAGTTTAAGAGCCCTGCCTTGGAAGCTTGTCAAAACAGGGATTGCAAAATCTGTAGAGAACTGAGCGACCTGTACGGAATGAAACACAATAATTACATTGTCAACTTTTGTCTCGCTTGTGCCGCCAAGGTTTAGCATGAACACAATTAAATCCCTTCAGCCATATGTGGCAGCATACAACAGCATTGGCTTTGGCTGTCAAAGACTCAGGCCATCTCAATAGGCAGTCAACACGCCCATCTCTCCCCACCTCCATCTGATGGCTCAATAGAGAGGTGAACTTTAACCTTCAGACCCTGTCCCTCCATAATGGAGGAGGCTCTGAGCGCCACCGTCGTCTAGGAAGGTGAACAATGCTCCGGCACGTCGCCCTGCTGGAATTTCATTTTCTATTTTACAAATGAGCCACACATCCTATTTACCGTTTCATTTAGCTTCAACAAATGTACCATTTAATTCTCTGTCTTGCCTTTCAATGGACTAAAATAGAACTGAATGTCTGAACAACCTTGTGTGTGCTCCTGGGAAAGAATGTACAGAGAAGATGTTAGTGTGCATCTACGTATATAGGCCCGTAGGACTGGATAATCATAGAATATCTAGGAAACACTGCCCTAAAAAGTCCATTACTAATGAACCAAAAGAAAACCAAAAAAGAAAATCTGAATATAAGACGTTTCTGTGGTCAGACAAAGGACTCCATTACATCAGAGCTGGACAACAATGACTGGCTAATATCTGATATATAATAAAACTTTAATATTTTATTCGTATTCCTTTTCTTTTATGACAGTAACATAATGATAAAATCTCCCTAAGTCTATTTCCTTATTTTCTTAAGTCTATTCTGCTCTGCAGTATCGCTTCTAAATGTCTTTACCATTAAAGTATGTATAGCATGCAAGTCTGGTATTAACGTTACCATGACTCACTGAATAATGCTGCAAAGAAATCCCTATTATCCAGTGTCATTTGAGTCTCATATAGGATTATATATCATATAAATAATACTATATAGATCTCTTCATATTTTACAAAAACAAATGCAATTTTAGGCCTGCAAAGAAGATGAAACTGCTTGTTAAAATGCATGGCTTTAAAGAACAAAGGAGAACATGGTGCATCTTTAGAAAGGGTACTTTCACCCACTCCAATGTGAAGACGGGAGGCATTTATGTAGGCGGGTAATGGACCTTAATGGCCGCCTCAGTCAGAAACATTCTCTCACACTAGTGCATATCTGAAGACACTCAGAGTAAATGACAAACTTGCTAGTAACAGTGCTGAGTGGAGACGATACCATTGTCCTGATCAGCATGGATCAGTTATCAAGTCAGTTACAGTCACAAAGACACTCCCAGCCTCGTGTGGCAAAATCATCCCATCACCTGTCCAAACCTTAATAATCAGACACGGGTGCGATTCATTCAGTTGGAATTAACTACGGCTGTCAAATCAATACAGATGTGAGAGGAAGACAGCTTCACCTTGAGGACCCTATTGGAGGAATAGAGTCTTTAGATGGCCATTGTCAGGCTGTCAAGGCTCAGGGTGCCCCCACCACCATCACCACCTCCCATCTACCCCTAACCCTGCAAGATGAAGGGTTGTGACACGTGAGACAGAATGCACTCCTTTATGTCTCTTACGTGTCTGTCTACGTAATGACGATTCAATCTTCTTCTTCTTCTTACCTTATGTTCTTCATAAATATTTGTTTGTTTTCATTGTCTTTTTAATGCTTATAATAAAGAATATACCCCTTCTCAAGATGAATATTGATTTTGACAGTGTCGGACAACTGGTAAACAAACTTGTTCTATTGTGTCATATAGGCAAAAATTTAAATTTTTTAATTTTTGTACAGCTGAACAAGCTTATTAATATTAATTTGTATGATTGCCAAAAAGGTATTTCTGTTGTCTCCCAAATTATTGCTGGACTCATCTTTGGTGCTGTTCATATATATTTATAAAGGTTTGACATACTAAATAAAGTGTTGGACTATTTTTTCCTTGTGAAGACCAGATTATGCATTTTATCCTGTAACTTCCACAACGCAGTGATCTTTCTAAAAATGAATGAATAGGCCAAGATTAGTCATCAAGAAAAGAAATCAATGCACCATGGTGCTTCTCCTAGTGTTTGACTGACAGGTGATCTATGGGAAATTCAGTGCACAAACACTAACAACAATGAATGTATGGCAGGAGGAAAAGGAGGATAACCATGTTAAAAATTAGGTGAAAATATAATTGTATTAGGCACATCACTCAACTTAATTGCAGATAATGTGATTTATTTTCAGTGCAAATGTGCAACGCCTGTTTTATCTTCAGTAGCCAGGATACTTCTTTCATAGAAGGATGCTGCTGAGCAGATTAGATGTTCGCCTTACTTTTTATTGGGGTAGAGGAATATGGAATAAGAATGTTATTTACGAAAGAGTAATTAAAGGTACTGATAAAAAGCCAAGACACTAAACATTTTAAGATGGACATTTGTTGCAGGGTGGTAGTGGGGTTAGCAGATGTTTTGACATTAGGACGGGTTGAAGCTGTTACCTCTGACCCCCCTGAAGCCTGGCAGTGTCACAGGCTTGTCTGTCACCCAGCACCCTGATTCTAAAGAGGATGACCTCTTTGTTCACCTCATTCAAGGCCAACAGCGGACATATGGTGATCGGTTAACTGGATTTTAAAACAGCTCCGGGAAAGGAGAGAGGGAGGGGAGGAGCATCTTGATAAAGACATAGAAAGCAACGACTCAATAACTGCCATCTCAAATCTTACATCTCCATCTAAATTACTGATACATGTGCTTAAAGGCACCGGAGGTGTGGTAAACGATGCATTCGCACTTGTATTGCTTGCTGGCAATTTAAGATAGCTAAAACTTGTGTTTAAACCAACAGTAACTGCCAAATATCTCTGACAGAATCAGAATCGACAAATGTAAAATGTCCTGTTTGGTTGGACACTTTTATCCTAAATACTTCACTGCAACATGAGTGCCTATACTTTCAGCATGGGTGGCCACAGTGGGAACTAAACCGACTGCAACAGGTTGGTGCCAAGTTCGACCCACTGAGCTATACAGAGCAGAAAATATACAAGAATTTGTAGTGTCACAGCTCACACTGACTCAACACAGTACAAGGCCAACAGGACCTCATATAAGCTGTAAGGGATTACTATGGATAGTTAGCTGTACTCTCATTATGCATTTAACATCCTATAGGAGCATGTGTTAGAGCAGGGGAGAGTACAAAATGGCTAGTGCTGCAGAGGGAAATAGACTGAGCTATAGGCACTGTACAGGTTCGGTCTACCATGATGATGGTAGATTAGGTGACATTTTGTAGAACAATGACGTAAAGGGATAGGGATTTGGAGAAAAAGCCAGAGATTCGGTGGATAATGGAAAAAAATATCTAGTCTATCTAATGTAAGTGTTCAAATTGGTCAGTTTAGGGTTTAACTTTATCACCAGCAAATCTTAATGCTGTTGCTGTTGGAGAGCCACTCCAGTTGAGTTGGAGTATCCTGAGGGCTGCTGACAGGTGTGTGAATGTGTGTGTGTGTGTGTGTTTGTGTGTGAGTGGGGACAGAGGGAGCGAGACAACTGCTGTTGGTCTGCTGGGAGCAGATGTTGGAGATCTCTGTAAACTGTTAATAGCTGCAGGATCTCATTACATTTAACTCTTTAAATGCCAAACCTTCACTGGGGAGAAAGTGTCTCGTTGCCTCTCACTACCAGCCTGACACATGTTTACTCTGCTGAAGTTAGAAAATGCAATGTCACTGTCACACAAACAATTTGAAATTTCCATCTTTTGGCATATGTTTATTACAGGTGGTCAAGTTTCTCCTAGTTTTATGGAACATGACATTTAATTTAATTGAGAGTATGTAACTTCTGAAAGAAGAAACTCATTCTTCCTCTTACAAATATAAAGTTGAATTCATACGCAACTCAGCAGGTAAATAAACTAAGCTATTACAGCCATACTTGGTCTGGTATGAACAGTAGCTTATGGTGGCGAATGTTAGCCGACATGATGTTAGCAAATATTAGGAAAAGTTTACTCTATAATACACATTACTGAGTTAGTTCTGACTTTATGACTTCTTGTGCTAAGTTTTAGCATTTTCCATTTTCCTGTAATTGTTACTTTAGGTTGCAAAAGTGAACACTACAATAGATGTTTCCTTCCCTGTTAGCATGGACTGTATATGTTTTGAAACATTTTGTTGCTTAATATATGTTTTGTGTGTGATTCTTTCCGAGTGCAGCTGAGCTACATGAAGATGTAGCAGCACTGGCATTAAAGTTTGAAAAGAAAGGGTGCTCAGCTAGGTTTTATTGTAGTAACACTACTGTTTCCTCATAATGTAAGTCAGTACTTATTGTTATAGTAGTTAAAGGTAGGTAAATTGTCCTTCATCATCACTTTATCACGTGTGAGGGCCGAGTGAAAAATAAAATACAGGACAGAATGATCATGCAAGAATTTCCATCTCCAGGCAAAATGTTAAATTTGTATGTTATTAAGTTTGAGTTTATTTGGAAACAAAACACACATTTTGACTGTTTGAATTCCAATGTTCTTACCACACTGAGTCTGTCTTTTAATCCTACAGCTCAGGGCCATTAAAGGAACACAAAAGTAAACCATGCCCTGTTACTTTAAGCAGTGCCATTCCACATGAGAGCCCAGTGTTTAGAGTGAATCCGATGACAAAACTGAGTACAACAGCTGTTTGCTGCGCTGCATTACTGTCAACATTGAGCTATCACGCGAGCATGCATGTATCTGTGTACCACTCTTGTTTTCAGCACAGCGGCTTGACCCTGTAAATTTATTTTGGTCAGCTTAGCTGGGGCTGAGAGTGGCCCGAGTCCTGCCGGGGACATCCAGCCAAGCGACGTGTTTTCTGACCTTTAGTTACCGTGAGAAGATTCACGGTATGAGCGTTCTTTCAGCACTCTGCTTCACACTCTTCCTGTTATAGAAATTCACACCAGGGAGCATCGCAACACTCACACTGATCTACTGATAGATGCACAGCAGCTCCACTGGACAAGCAGGGGATTGAGATGCCTTGCTAAAAGGAACTTTGATGGTAGCTCAAGGAGGGCAGAGCACCACCTCTTCCAGGCAGATTTTTGGAGCTGGCGTGAAGATTTGAATCTTTAAATCATAGCCCTGGTCCTCTAACCTTTAGGTAGGTTTGAAATTAAGTTCTCTCACCTTGATGCCTCCCATCCTTTGCTCTCCCTTGAATTCTTGCCGTTCTTCAGCCAGCGGATGGTCGGCGTTGGGTTTCCGGCTGCAGCACAGCGGAACTTGACGGTATTGGCGGCTGGAACGGCCAAGAGCTTCTTGTCCATCCGGTCAGGCCTAGTCCAATATGGAGGTTCTGTTGGTAAAACAAAAAACAGGGCATTGCATCAGTGATGGAAAACTACTTCTCTAAAACCAAACATACATTATGCAGTGCTGAAAGTTCTCAAGTATTTGAAATAACTCTCAAGTATCCACTCACCTAAGACGTCCAAGTCAAGGTGTCAAGTCAAATGACAAGTCCTAAGTCTCGAGTGATTTGACACGAGTCAACATCAAATCTCAAGCAATTTTGACAAAAGTACAAGTCAAATCACAAGTCGGTGCAAGTCACAAGTCAAGTGTGGAGTAATTTGAGACACATCCAAGTCAAGTCTCCAGTTCTTTGAAACGAGATCAAGTCAAATCTCAATTAATACAAGACAAGTAGTCAAAGGTCCAGTCTCAAGTCATTTGAGACAAGTCCAAGTCAAGTCTCTAGTCTGTTGAGATAAGACAAAACCTGAAATCATTTGGTCCATGAGGGGAAAGTCCAAGTCTTCATAAGCAGTTAAGATGCAAACCTTTCAGATCTGAATCCTGACTATTAAAACGGAACAGTAATTAAAGAGGTGTTTAATATGTAGTTAGGACAAAGTCCTCTCAATGAATATATTTCTGTGATATTATCAGGCCAAAAGCTGAAACTTGAAGGTTTTTGTTCTGTTGTCAGAACTCTCAGAATCTGACCCGCTCTGCCAAAATGTACCACTTTCTTTTCCTCAGATCAGACCCTAACTTTCTATTATCCGGTGTATTAGATTATATAATTTCTGGGGAAAGCCCTACAGGAATTCATTGTTACATGTTTTTGTAATTGCTAAAATATGGCCCAGATGGGAAAACTTACTCTTCTGCCCTGTCTTCAAATTGGTCCATCTTGGATGAGTTACCTACTTTGCCAGAACAGATGTGAGGTTGTGGATTCACTGGAGGTCTTCCCTCACGCTCTGATAAACAACATAGTACCAGCGCTTATCTTTCTGCAATGTCAAGCCAACCCGTCTGTCCCAAGAGATATGGTTAAGTTCAAGATGCGTAAAAAGTGTAAAACACAGTTTGAGGGATGTTGAAAGAACACAAAATATGTGCGTGAAGCGTCACAAGGACCAAACAATTCTTATCATCTTCCTCCCCCACTAATAATGCAAGGGTTCATTTGAATTGTCTGATTCTGAGAGTTTGGAAACCTGTCAGGGCGATTTATTGAGTTGTATTGAGAAGACGGCAGACAAAGAGAGTTTAGCCAGTCAGAGAGGCCTATTGTTCCTGCTGTGTGGGTGTGGAGGGTGAAAGCAATGAGGCATGGCTCACTCTCTCTCTTTATAGGTCTGTGTGAGTTTGTGTGTATGTGTGTGTGTCCCAGGACAAAAGCTGGGGAGGTGGCTGACCGGTCATCAGATGTCTCTTTTACTTTCTAAATGCAGGAGGAGAGAGAGGAGCTAATTACCATCTCAATGTCTGCGCTTGTGTGTGTGTTTTTGTGTGGTCATGTGAATATGTTATCTACTCCGGTGGGTCAGGTCGCACCCTCGAGCACTACATAGTGGGCACCTCAGGTGAGATGTCAATCAGAAAAATGTCAACATTAAAATATAATACCTGTCTGTGATTGTGTCTTGTCTACCGCATATGTGTGTGCCTGTTTATCATACTGCCTGGAGTCTCCTGATATATTTCTGACACACATCTCTTTGGCTCTTGCCATCAAACTTTGGCTTTGGCTTCACAGAGTAATTACAACCAGGCTGAGAGAGAGATTCAGTGATGAAAGACACAGACGTATCTTCTTAGAAAGCAAACAAACAGAATGTTACTTCACTCTATTGAACAGACTATAAACTCTGTGTGTTTACAAACTCTAATGGAGCAGCTGAACACTGCTCCCTGCTTGAGTTAGAGACTCCCCAGCTCGCTAAGACAAACGCTCTCCACGTGCAACCACGCACACACACAAACGTCCTCCACCTTAAAAGGGAAATATCTGTTGGATTTCATTACTTCTCTCTCTCTGTGTCTCCTCTGTCTCGGCGTATTTGGAGCGACACTTGGCGCAGCGTGGGACAACCCTCCAAGGAGTCTGAACACATTGTTTTCTTGGCATCATAATCAGCCACACACACACTCGGTCAAAGAGAAACACACACTGAGTTCTTAAACAGTCTCTCTCCTGATGTGTGGTCCTCCTTCTCCTCCTCCTCCCCCTCCTCTCCCTGCTGCTGCTCCTGAACCCATCTGTGCCTGAAAACACCTTCTTGCTGGTGATGATCCTTCAGCCACAATGATGTGTTTTACCCAAAATAGACGCCTGTGTAGATTCTGTACGAGCTGGGATGCTCGTCTCCATGGTTTTGTCCCAAAAACACATTAAGATTGGTTTATTCACTGACTTTTAACTGCTAAGTGCTAACTGCTGTGTTTCTGCAAAAGATCACCTGTCAATCAAACTGCGGGCGGCTTCTTCCTCTGATTTTATGGCAATTAAGTTTCTGCAAGTGGTGCTTGATTTTTTTTTGTCTGTTCAGAGACGGACGCAATTGCTGCTCATGCTAACCACCCTGTTCCTCTTTTATTTATTCCACACTAGCAACCCAGGCAATTTATTTTTACATAATACAGCTGTTTTTTAAAGGAGCTGAGTGGGTATCACCTGAATTATTTTTTTTGTCTTGTGACAAAAGGGATTTGTTGGCTCTACAGGCACTTTGCACCGTCAGATAAAGTAAAAATTGCGGCCTCTTCCAAATCAGACACAACAGTTGATATATAGACTTCAGCGTGTTCTTGAACATAACATTCAGCACCCGGACTATCAGCACTGGCGCCCCCCAGGGGTGTGTGCTCTCCCCACTGCTCTTCTCCCTCTACACCAACGAACTGCACCCCAGGGACCCATCTGTCAAACTCCTGAAGTTCACTGACGACACAACAGTCATCGGCCTCATCCGGGACGGTGATGAGTCGGCCTACAGACGGGAAGTTGATCAGCTGGCTCTCTGGTGTGGTCAGAACAACCTGGAGCTTAACACGCTCAAAACTGTGGAGATGACCGTGGACTTCAGGAGGAGCTCCTCCACTCTGCCCCCCATCACCATACTCAACAGCCCTGTGTCTGCTGTGGAATCCTTCAGGTTTCTGGGTTCCACTATATCCCAGGACCTGAAGTGGGAGCCCAACACTGACACTATCATCAAGAAGGCCCAGCAGAGGATGTACTTCCTGCGTCAGCTCAGGAAGCTCAACCTGCCTAAGGAGCTGCTGATCCACTTCTACACAGCCATTATCCAGTCTGTCCTCTGCACCTCCATCACTGTCTGGTTTGGATCTGCTAGCAAAAAGGACAGTAGCAGACTACAATGGACAGCCAGGACTGCAGAAAAAATAATCGGTGCCAACCTGCCCTCCACTCAGGACTTATACATTTCCAGAGTCAGGAAACGGGCAGGAAACATCACTGCAGATTCATCTCACCCCGGACACAAACTGTTCCAGCTCCTCCCCTCTGGTAGGCGCTACAGAGCACTGTACGCCAAAACCAACACAGAAGCAGTTTCCCACAAGCCATCACTCTGAACAGCTGATTTCTGACTCACAGTGTCAGGAACAATTCCTGTGCAATAACCCAGTAACTCTGTCTCTAATCAGCCACCTGTTTACTGGTTTCCACTTATTATTTATTTATTCACCATTCTCTATTTCAGTGCTGTTCATACTACGTTCAAACTATGTCATATTGTATATACTGTATACCGATACACCTACCTCAGGTCATAAGGTCATAGGTCTTATTTATTTTTTCCAGCATCCTTTGCACTATGCTCCATCACACTGTGTACATGTGTACATGTATGTGTACCTGTATATCATATCCACCTTCAATATGTACATAATGAGAATAGTTTACTCTTGCATCCTTTGCACTCTGATCACTGCACTATTTGTCAATATGTCTATATTGTTTTGTTCATAGTGTGTATGTTAGTGTTGTCTATTCTGTAGTTTGTGTCTGATTTTATTTAATTATTATTTTATTATTGTGTTATTGTATTATTGTATAAGTAAGCACATCGTGAGCAATGTACAATCCTGAGTCAAATTCCTCGTATGTGTACACATAACTGGCAATAAAACTGATTCATTCAGATTTACTGTGGAGTCCTGCTCTGTACGCTCAGCAACACACAGGAATCCCATCCCGTGTCTAATTGGCTGGATGGTATTTCCTTAGCAGAGGGGAGTGGGATTTTCTATGAGGGAGGCGGGGGGGCCAGAGCAGATACCCCTTAAACCCCACAGGGACGATAACCCTGTGGGGTTTAAGCGATAACCTTGCCCTGTGTGGATATGCAGTCACTGTAGTGGAAACTGGTATACTATAACATCTTCTCTCAGCTCAGCAGTTACAGTGTCAAGTCCACCTGTCAGCAGCAGAGGTTAACTGAGGAGGGGAATCTCTCTGGGAGCTTAAAAATGCATGACTGTAGCCCTGTTTGTTTGGTTTACGCTTGATAACAGACTCCAGCAGAGAGAGGTCAGTCAGCGGGGGGTAGATATATCCCATTCACATGCACAGAACATCTTATGCATTTACACACTAACAAACACATTCACTTTTGATGTGATTTGGCACTTTATCAATTAAATATAACTGACCTGAATTCAAATTTTTGATTGATATATTTGGTGGGTAAAGTATTCTATTACAGTTACCAGGTACCAGTGTTAACTGTAACTGTGTAAGCCTAACTCAGTGATATATTCAAAGTACGATGAGTATGATTTGATAGCAAGTACAAAATTGAAAGTCTATATTTCAGGTTTCTGTGTATCCTTACAACCCATTCAAGTTCTGCTGCTACCTAATTAGTGGTTTGATTTTCGTACAAGACACCATAAGTATCTGTAGAGTTTTCTATCAATGCTGACAAAGAGATGATATTTTCAGTCACTTGGTTTGTTTGTCTGTTAGTTAGAAGGGCTCCTTAAAATGAAATTTAAATGAAATTTGATGAAAAGTAAGGCGAAGGGTGAAAAAGT